GGGACTTTTCAGCTGAAGACCGCCTCGATCCCATCTTGTCATGCTTCGCTCGTCGAACACTAAACCACCCCTGAGCACAGTCATAGCACGTCATATGCCCACACTGCAAGCAAGGCACCGCTAGACTCCGGATGGAGATGTTGCAGATGGCACATGCACTGCGTTTGGGGGCTCTGGCAGCTCTCACCCCCGAAACTTGATTTGATGAGATGCATGACGGAGTCACACAATGCCACCCGATAGGAATGCCATTTTTCTCTATCGGGGCTGGTAGCTCCCCACAATTGCTACACAGACGTCTGATTTCCAGACCAAGGTCCGTGGCTCGGGATGCAGAAGTTAAGGTCTTCCTGCGCGGCCGCTCGAGACCACTTCCAGACGACCGGTGCGCAGCATTTGAGTGGGCGTGGGCCAAATGAGAGCCATCTGCTGGTATGCCGTCAAACTTAAGCACTTCGGCCCGTTGTGAGTGCAACTGCCACACATCGAGAAGGTTTGCATAGCTGTGCCGGTAGATCCTGCACTTCCTTTCGAGTACACGGTCTAAAAGCGATGCGGATGAGTACCCGTCAAGATCGAACTTGTCCTGGTTGACGAGACGGATCTTGATCTTCTTGCGCTTTGGAGGATTTTTGCCAAAAGTCTTCTCTGAGACCTCAGACTGCACTGCAGATATACCGCTGCGCCGGCCAGCCGACGTCTGCAAAGTGTTACTTCTTCGAGAGCTTTGCACGCCCGAGGACGAGAAGGAGGAGCGATTGCCTAGCTCGCGGCTATCTTGATTTACGCCTTCATTATGATGAAAGGGCATTCGTGAGCCTCTGCTTAACGCTTGGCTGCCAAATATGCCAGAAGACACCCATCCAGGGGCCAGTGAACCTGAAGGACTGTATCTCTTCAGGCTGGTTGTAAAACCCGTTGACGAACTTTGATTCGGAGGAGAGTTTGAGTATGACTGTGTCAAGGCTGATAGACTTGCTCGCGCGAAAGGATAAGCTATGCTAGCAGTCGTTTTGTTGCTTGGCCGGTTCCCTTCAGGCGATGTCGAGACGGAGACAGCAGTCGAATACGTCGCAACTTGGTCATGGGAGTCTTCAGCAACGAAACTAGCTGCTCTAGAAGATAATCGGCTGTCTTGGCGACCGAGGAAATGGTATGGTCTGCGCTGGATTCTAGAGCCTCCAAGGCCTTGAACGCCAGAAGCTACAGGCATATTTTTAGAGTGGATGAAGACATACTCTTCTGCATCGAGATCCCTTTGAAAGAAGGACTTGGCCACATGCCTGGAAGGAAAGTAGTCGCTCCGAATGTGGGGGATGTTGCCGGAGGCCTGCATATTCGCTTTGTCGGAATCCTCGCCTGGTATGACTCCCTCGTTGATGCTTGATGCAAAGGCGCAAGCTAAGGTGGCAAGCATCTGCACATCAGCAAGCCTTTCGAAATGGTCGAAGATAGCAGGAAGCAGGTATGTTGAGCCGAAAGGGTGATTGCCCCAACGTGTCCTTCCAAAAGCTTTGTGTTTATCTGGAGACATGCCGCCCTTTTGGCGAGGTCTTTCCAACACTGTTTTTGCAATCACCAGCACGTCTTGTAAAGTAGGATCTCGCAGATCTGGGAGAACTTCCAGTGGGACCGCATCATCCAAGACAAGGCCCACAACAGTCCACACAGATTCAAGGTCTCCCAAGGCGGCGTTTCGAGCAACAGCAGCATTGTGTTTGCAAACTTCTGTGCCAGATCCGAAAATCTTATACTCGACCGCCAGCTCTCGTTTCGAGGGGATCAGATCATCAAAGGTATGTATCGACACGGCGCTCTTCCGAGGAGCATCATTCAGCTTGTTGGCAACGCCGGTGGTGGAATGGTTTGACCGGTCAGGTGAGCGCGACCGTTGCTGGAGCCCAGATGCCCCCGCTTGATATGATGAGACACCACGAACATTTTGCTCGGTCTCGAATGAGGACGAGGAGCTGCTTGAAGTCTTCCATGATGAGTCTGACGTGTCAGAGTCGGAGTCGCCGTCCGCTGTTTTGGTGCCTCGGGTCGTTTTGCGCGCTGGTGAGCTCGCGTGTAGACGGCCAAAGCCTTCAAAGAGTCTACTTGACTCGGACTCCTCGAGGTCTTTAACGCCGAGAGTGCTCAACAAAGAGACAGGCTCATTTCCTTTGGCAGGAAAGAAGCAAACCAGCTTTCCAGTCTCAGACCAAAGGGCACCGCAACCCTTGGCAAGCGGCACCAGAATATTCGCCGAGGCGTCCAGACCTTCTCGCACTCCATCTAGTTGGTCATCACTGTCACTGCTAGAATCATCGGCTCCAACTGTGCTCGAGTCCAAGATCTTTGAGTCTACCAGCGACTCCCCGAGGACCCATGACACGATTTGTTCAAGATTCTGCTCCCTGAGCAAATATCGTAGGACTGCTTCAAGACATCCGCGTTTCCTGGAGGCATAGGTTTCTGCAATTGTGTGCAATTCTGTTGTTATGAGTCTGTGTGTTGTCTCGTCCAGAAATCCGGATTTCTGCAAAGTCAAGACTGCATTTGCACCTCGAGGATATAATTTGGGAAACCTCATCTCCACTCGCAGGTAAATTTGGCTCTGGTCTTCTCCCCAAGGGGCTTGGAGTGACATGACGGCCTTTCGATGGGAGATATCCACGACCTCAAACTCTACTTTCTTGAACTTTTCTCCCACCTGCCGAATCTCTTCGGCCAATGTGTCGGGGTCCCAAGAAAATATCTTCACGTTCTTTAACCAAGAGATGGGGTCCGTATTCTGCCGATTGTTGCCTCGTCCATGCATGCCAGATCTTTGCGGATAACGACCACCCTGAACCCAACCGCGGAATTGCGAAACGGGCATTTTGCTCATGCCGACACTGGTGCTGGAGCGAGGCCGGAAATGCGTGAGATGGCTGTGCCGGGAGAATACCTCACTGCGAGGTGTTTCATCTAATGGGGACTCGGCGTCCCCCGGTACATCGCGAAAGGTCTTGTAGACCGCACCTTTGCGCGTGAAGTTGAGCCGCTGAACTTTGGAGATACCCTTTTCGTATCCAATGTCTGCATATATATCGGGTTCAAGAGCGTGGAGCCTCAACTCCCTGTCCGTTCCCCAAGACACCAACTGGAAGTCTCGATTGTCAACGTTGTCGACAATCGCGCCCCGAGCGCGCCATAGGAACTCTTTGACCTGACCTTCATGACCCTTGAATGTCGCAACAGGACGGACCGGTCCGCTCTCATACACACCATTGACCGCACGGCGATCATAGAGATGCAAGTCGCTATTACCGCGCTGCGGCATGGCGAGCAGTCCCCATCCAAAGGGGGTATGACGTGCTCTCCATACAGGAAAGGGAGTTTCAATGACGCGCTCTAGGGTGCTTTCCTCTCCCTCAAAATCCCAGAACTTGATTGTCCGATCAAGAGAGCAAGTGACAATCTTGTTCTGATGAAGGCGATTCCAGTCGATCCCATAGATTTTGGTTCCATGGGCTTCGATGGTTCGTACGGGATATGCACCGTTTCTGTCGTCCCAAATGTGAAGGAACTTGTCGTGAGAGCTTGCAACGACGTGTTCATCTTGCCGATTCCATTTAACCTGAGTTGCTCCAGCAAACCAGTCGGAAAAAGAATTGACAGGCCTCGCAGGAGCTCTCAAATCCCAGCTGTGCACGAAGCTGTCAACGGCGCAAGTGGCAAGGACGTCGGGATTATGGGCCGAAAAGTTGATGTCGGTTATTGCTCTGGTATGGCCGTGAAGTACGAGTTCGATGGGATCCTGCCATGATCGGGCATCAAGATTCCAAACCAGCGCTTTTTGATTCGATGTACTGACGACCCAGTAGTCCCTTGCAGCAAACGGAGACCATTGAACATCAGCGACTTCCCAGGGAGTCCGGTGTGGGAGGTATCGTGGTGGAGAGTAGGGCGAATCCAGGTCAATGATATGAAGCCCTTCTTTGGAAGCCAGCGCAACATCGCGCCCGCTTGGGGAGATGGTCATGGATCCCACAGGTTGTTCAAGCCTGAAAGATGCATCTTGGCCGAAGGTTTCGCTCTCGAAAGCGGAAGTTGGACCTCGAGGAGCCATGCTTGCTCAAGGCCTCTTTATGCTGGTCGGACCTTAAAAATCTATGCTCTGCCGCCCATCAAAGACTCATCTGGCTAGGGAGAATCGAATAGGGGTTCGCCCAGGGCGTAATGCAGCGACTGGGAAGCAATCATCTCAAGCAAGGAGGTGCCAAACGCGTCTGGACGGATCCAGCCCCGCTAACAACAAGATCTATCCACGTTAGACCGCGCAACAAAATCCCATGGGTGACAAGGCTTCAAGAAGGGTTGTGACCGATCGCAGAACAGACGTGCTAATGATGATTTTGGGAAGTACATGTGGATGGCATAAGGACGAGATAGAACGAGTAAGAACGAGGTACTAGTAGTTCGTCTAGACGTGGAAATGCCGCGCTCGCCTGAATGCCAAGCCTGATTACATCATACCAACGAGGTCACGACACCTTAAAAAAGGGGCTTGAAGCCTTGCAGGCCTTGTTATCATCGTAGCCGTCAACGCACCAAAGCACCTATATGATTTCTCATGCATTTGAGTGGTTATAAATACAAAGCTTGAACTCTATAGTGTGAGCCGTCGCTTCAAAACAGCTCTCTCCCTAGCAGAGTATGGGTTTCGCCCAGATTGAGAATGATGGCGTCAGGCTCACGAGTGGCATAGTTCCCGTCGTGGTCATGACCCTTGTAGTTCCTGCTCACTGGCAACGTTGCATTGGCTAACGGAAGCAAAGGGTGAGTACGGTTGACTGCGTGAGCCTCCTTCGGTCTCATTTTTTTCCGCTTCAAGTCGCAACATATTCTCAGAGGACTCTAGAAAGAAATCCAGAGAAGCTCTCGTGCGTCTCATCAGCACCTAGGCTGGCGTTGACACCCAGGTCCTATTCCACTCACGCCAGCCCTGTTCATGCCATCTTTTTGGCTGGCATTTACGCTGCTGTAGGCTGGGAAATTTGTTGAACGGTGTACTGATCCACTCGGGTGCTCTTTGTCTCCCCCGAAATGAAAGCCTGAATTATGTCTGCAAATCGCAGGGAAATACCACTCGTCCCTAGTCTGCGGAGAATGCACTCAATGACACAAAGGGTACTAGCCTTCATTTCGGCAATGTTCGCAGCCAGGATCTTCGGCAGAGCAGCGAGAGTTTCGTCAAGTATGTGTGGCACCGGGTAGATGTTGGTCGGGTCTAAACTTTTGCCTTCGCGAAGCAGCTGGATCTCAGGCAACGAGTTTAGTGGTTCAAACATGCCAGCTGGGAACGGGGAGGTCCATGATATTGACGCTGAAGGACACTCTGGCAGGTACAGCATATAACAATACCAACAGATCGCGGCCGAGAACAGAATTCGTGGGGTATGAATAGCAACAAGAGCGCCCATGTTTGTGGATACGATCAGATTTTGCAGGAACAAGGCGTGGAGCAAGCATCTTTTGGAATCCAACGACGTAATCCAGGATAACACTGACTCCCGAGTCGCCGGGGCAATTTCGTTACCTTCCTTGCCGACTGCAATCTCAAGAACATTGAGATCTGTACTCAAGGTGAGGAAGTTGTAATGCCATAATGGAAGCAAGCTGAATGGAGCTTCTGTCTGCGTAGAGGCGTCGGAAGACACTTTGAAGCCCTTTGGTGTGGACGCATACCAAGTGAGAAGGTCAGATTCGAATTTGCTCACCATGGTAAAAGAGAGGAGATCCAAATGTCGGCACTCACATATCGACGCACTGATACCCGAAAGGTTGTTATAGACATTCAATATGTTGCGGTACTTCATGCCTCTCTGTAACAAGGGGTTTGACTGGCTCTCGCCACGAATAGTTCCGTGCCCGACGTTGAAAGAGCTAGTGATTTCAGCTCGATAATCGGGGGATCCGAATTGGCTTTCTCTTTGCTCAGCTCGGAGTAATGAAGCCCAGGTGGACGCTGACGGAGCGGAGAAGAGTTCTGGTGAGGAGACTGTGGGTATATGTCCCGCATTGTGACGAAAGACCGGCTCATGATGAAACAATGCAGCGATCTCGGCGTCATGGATATAAAGCAGCACAGCTATCCTCCTCAGCTCTTCTTGCGTTGCCCACGTTCTCCATGCTTTGTCCAGATCCTCAGTAGAAAGATCATCAGGGAGATAAAAAGCCGGTGCCGGATTAAATAACTTGTGGTGACGAGCAAGCGCGATGAGCGACCCATGATAGGCAGCGGCCGTTGCTCGGTGAGCTGGATCGCCAGATAGCAGTGCGTAAGTCTGACCGATTATAGACGCCTTTACGATATTCCAGGTTTGGTCATTAGGTCGAGGAAGGACTCTTTCCCAGGGAGCAACAAGAATAGCCTTGTTCACTCGTTCAAAGAGCATGGAACCCGTTTTTGCCGACGCCTCAGAGCCAAGAGATAGACATCCTGCCGAGCAAATCGAGAGCACCAACAGAGCATTGCTGTGTGTTGGCCGAAAAGAAGGGCTATGTATGAGGGGTAAAGCGACATTGAATCTGGTGAAAAAGAGATGAATACATAGATTCATAAAGTCAATGGAGGGCAGCGGCTCATCCCGCAGGGGTGGTCGCAACTTGCTTGCCATTCTCACCCGATATGTTTCGTCAATGTTGTCGAGAGTCGTTGTAGCGGCATCCCTTGGAGTTGCCGTCCCCGAATCTAGCTCAGGCTCGTTTTCCATACCAGAAACCTGGATATACCAGATTTGTCTGAGATCGAGGACTGCTGGTCGAAATTTGGGTTTCTCTGTCTTTTGCTGATGCGACGACTTTGGATTATTGTCATGATTTATCAGCTGGGGTTCGTGTAGAGTGCTGCTAAACCCCATGGGTTCGAATACGGTAAAATCGAAGTCATCTTCCAGGAGCCAATGTCCGGAGTGGATGTCAGTAAGTGGCTCCATAAACGGGTGTGTCTCAAGGGGCCCATTGAAGTTGATTTGGTTAGTTTGTGCATTTAGAGTGGCGTCATGTTCGGCCACTGCAGGGGAGGACAGCATGGGTGCTGCGATCTGAGATTGACTGAATGTCGCAGCGCCGTGAATTCTGTCTTCTAGACTTTGCATTGCCCCTATGGGATTGCTCGAGGGATCTTGTGATGGAGAAGCCTGCGGGAAGCTTGATGCTATTGTGGCATATGAATCTTGCACATTCTCGTGGTGGCCGTACCCCAATGATCTCCCTGACGAATGCGACGCCGGGGTTGATTGCTTCTCGTACAACGTGGGCCTTGAAACCTCAAGGTTCATGGATCTGGATCTCGAAGTCGAAGTCGAATTAGCGGATGGAGAGGCGTCTTGATATGCTGTCTGAGGTGCCTCGTTCGGAGTCGCTCTCGTGCACGATTCGGTGACGTCCGAGTCTTGCCTGTGGATTCTTGCATGACGGAGTAGTGTGTCGCTCCAATAGTTAGTGTTAACGTCGGCTCGGACGCGGACTTCACATACTGGCGGGGATAGGCCTTGCGACAAATGTGACAGCGGAATGGCTTCTCTTTAGTGTGTGATCGAATGTGCCGATGAAAATGATCGGCTTTGTAGAACTCCCTTGAGCAAAAGGGACACTTTTTCCCCTTTCCTGCCCTGATTGCTACGGGCTGGAGCGTCTGTGGATCATGTTCACTTCGCATTCCGGGATTAGGACTGGTCGATGGCGTATTGGCCATGGCTTGCTAGAAGAGAAACTGGTTGGGCTTCAACTGGATCTCTGTCTAGACGAAAGTGGCCGGCGTCGAGAATCTGTAGAGCCTTTCTTGCTGACCGCAGTATAAGTCGAACTTGATGTACATTCGAAGCACTGGTCGATTGTTCAAGGACACGAGGGTAGTCCAAAAGGCGGTTGGGCAAAGATAACGCAATGCAAGGCCCAAGCTTGCTGACGGTCGAGGAGGCGGATGGCAAAATGGAGTTACATGCCTCATAGAAGAAAGATAGGCGTGCTGGAGATGGTTTAGCCCACTGGCCGCTTAGCCTGAGTATGGGGAAGTATCGGGGCTGCGGAGATTCGAGAAGACGCGACCTAGGACTTTCGCTCGCCTGTTTCAGAATCAGTAGGACTGGCTCGGGTGAATATCGCGCCGTAACAGGGCTGATGGACTCTACATCGTCACCAAAAACCTCGGCTAGCGGGCATGTCTAGGGTGCTCATTACATTCCTCTCAGGCGACTAGGCGGCTATTCATTACGAAGAAGCCTGTGGGACCGCTTTCGACACGCCGACTTTGACCGTCTTTACTCGCCGATCTGTAAAATCCTCAAGACATCAGGTAGAAAGAGCCCTCGAGCCGGATTCAGAAATAAATGGCACAGTCTGACACAATACATGTACCTCAAGAGTGCTCAATAACGTCAATGCGGCCGCTATCTCCAATATAATTGACTGTAGAGGGTGGACGACAAAGGGGCCAGGACCACTATTCCTCAAGGTAAACTATATACTTATTGTGAATGAAGGGCTTCACCGATCTCACAGTGAATCACTCTACTCTTGTCAGACTGTGCCGCTCGTTTCGGAATCTGCTTGCCATGCACCCCGTACTGAAGTGCCTGGGAGCGACTTACGTTCAAGCCTAGTGAACCCTATTGGATGGTGAGAATTGCTTGACTGATTGCGCTCACAGATGAAATTGCAATAGTATGTGTCGATATCAAATGCCCGGCGACATCGTGCCCAAAGTCATCCAATACAGGATGGGATCCCCCTGTGTAAAGGCTCTGAGCAAATGCCTTCCCGGTATTACGACCTTAGTTGATATCATATGTGGGCGGCATCTAGAGCTTGCAGCCGTTGGGCTTCGTTGATCGAGGAGATCCAAACAACGTTTGCGGGATTTGTTCGCAAGCCTTGATGAGCTCCGCGCCAGTGCGACAAGCGGCAAATACGAATCGGTCTGGGCGGACCAAAACGTACTTCCTTCCACCGACATCCTTTTTGACTCGATACATGTCGTATCCGGTTGGGTAGGGTCGATTTCTGCAGAGGTTTGACGCAGCGAACTCGTCCCCAGTTGCTATCCGATACACGTTTTGTTGGGGGATATCTGACGGAGTGCTGGCTGGCCGATTTTTGAGTGACGGCGAGTGGACGAGGAAGAAAGCAGAGTCCTTTTGGATTTCGTTGTTGGAGATCTTCTCCAGGTTGAGCTCTTTGAGTTCTGACCACGCTTTCTCCGCCTGCTCCATGTTGTCAATCACGACAACAAGTCGCAGTAGCGCATTGGTCCTGGGTCCGTTCAGTAGCACATCATCTGTAAATCGGACTGCCGCGACTGCATCCTTGGTCAGAGGGTAGATCGAGCAACAGTAAACTTGTGGCAAACAACATCCGCCTGCTAGGTCGGGGAGGAATGCCATCCCAGAGCTGAACATGTACCGTTGCATTCCGTTTGCGCGAGGGCCCAATTCGAGCTTATGTCTCCAGCTCGGGACAAGTTGCATCAACCACAACACCCAATCCCTAAGGAAGATCTTCATGGGATTTCGGGCTGTTGTGAGATTTCCGTTGGCAACCGTAGCCGCAAGCGAGCGGTCTAGCTGCTGTTTCCGTTCTAGAAACCACCCGTTAAAGAGGGCTTCATAGTTGCCGTCGAAATCAGGGCGACAAGCTAGCGCGAGCCTCCATGCAATACCAGAGGCGTCTCTGAATCCAGAGACGATACCTTGGCCGCCAACTGCCTCCATTAGTAAGACCCTCACATTTGTGCTCGTCAAATACGTACACGGGGGCATAACGTGGGCTGCGTCACCACAGACTATTACTCTTTCGACCGCCCACTTGTTGCAGCTTCGGGCGGCGAAAGTGAAAGGCCTCGACCGCAGAACATGGATGCAATCCACCGGGTATTGCACAGCGTCTTTCAGACTGTTCGAGTTGTCATGTAAGCGACTGCCAGACACCATGTCCGTCGATAGGCCGTGAGACACTTACCCATAGTCAGCACCCGGGTGGGTTAGGTACGGTAAGACGATCTGAGATGTCCTCTCCCACGCTGCCATCTCCTGCGGATCTTCTCCCTTGTCCACCACGAATTCAAACCTCCACAATCTCTCACTCCGTAATCCAAAACTTCCACAGACTGACGGTCGGTCAGGATTGCCAATGAATCGAAAACCGGGCGGAAAGAATTTGTCGTAGACTTGTTCAGGGGTGTAATTAAGTTTCCAAAGGGGAAAGTTCGGGTGTGTCTCCGGCGTAGGGAGATCCATGTGCCAATTCATCGCTACCCATGTCTCTTGATACTCGTACCTAGATCTTGTCAATTTTCCCTGGCATGGTTGCTGCAGTAAACGTGTCTTACCCAGAGAGTGTTTGGAGCAAAACTCCCTTTGGCTCCAGATAGCGTTTGCGTGTAAAACCAGTTTTCCCATCTGCTCCCACGAAGAACTTCCCCTGAATGGTGCGCTGTATGCCGTTATTGTCGATGTATTGTGCCCGAACAAAGTCTTTGTCTTCTTCGACATGGATGATCGTCGACCCGAGACGTATTTGCGAGCTAGGACAGCTGCTCGCGGCCCTGCGAATATTCTTTTCCATGACAGGTTGTTTGTGGCAAATCGCGGCCACGTGGCCAGTTCCTCCTTCGGTGGTGCTTAGATTCATTCTCATGAACGGCTTGGTCATGAGCCCATGCTTTGCAGACGTGAAGAAGGTCCATCCAATATGTTGCCCAATCTCGGTGTGGATCTGGTCATACAAACCTAACTCCTGGAGCAATCGAATCCCGTCCTCATCAAGAGCAATGCCCCGAGGATCTGTCACGATTTCTTCTTCTTTCTCTAAGACAACATTCTTGACAGACATTCGACCCAAAAGCCCACTGAGCAGAGCCCCAGTTGGTCCACATCCACATATTATCACATCCGTATTCTCCAGGTCCTCGTTGTGCAACTGGTTGGCCATTGTGAGTCTCGTTGAATCATGAAAGCTCAAACACTAGAGAAGAGGATCGAACACAAGAATGAAGGAAACGGCGAGTTCTTATCCGAGTAGAATCTTTCCCACCGCAGAGTTCCTAGGCGTTCGCTCGATGGTCTGAGGAAGTATCCTGATACAAGCAACGCAGTGTGGGAGTAGCGTTGAAGCCCAGGGTCAACATCCAATGGTTAACAAGAATTCCGACGCAGACTATGGTCGTGGGGTCCCCATCTGAGAGTCTACGACGAAGGAGTCCTGCGTCTCATAGGAAATGGACTCGCCGAAGATCGCTGTATCAAAGTCAATTCTCTCGTGATGGGGGGCTTGCAAAGGTGGGACAGCAGTTCAGAATTTGTTGACCAATTCACATATCTGGGGAATCGTGGTAAAATGCGGGACGCTAAAATGCGGGGACATGGATGGACGACGGGGGTGAGGCTGTCACCATGCGCGAGAGTCATAGAGCAGTGCTTCGTCCTTCGTACCCCGTAGTGGTTCACAGCAAGCATCCCGATGGTACCGAATGCCGTGCAGGGGCCACAATTACTCGATGGATAAATGTAACTCCCCGTCCGAGATTACGGTGGGAGACCTTGCAGCTCAATATTTCTGGTGGAAGAGTAGCTGGGAAGGTAGTAAGGTTTTTCCTTGGACCTCATGGAAAGTGGTTTGAAAGCTTTGTTTGTGAATCTGGACAACGCGGCGTTGCCAGCCCAGAGGGCAGCCAGGAGAAAACAGAAAATGCCAGTCCGGTGCACACTTAGCGTTCAATCGCTCGCGATATTCGATGAGATAGACTGAATAAAAAGACGATGTGATGGGGACGACATCGCGTTGACATAACCTGAGTCAAGCAGACCAGCGACGGTGCCGGCGCCAAGAATATTCACGAGTCATGAGATTGGCCGCAAACCGCAGTTGACCCAGCGCCATATCAATCAGAGTGACTCGAACGGCAGTGACAACTCATTGCCTGAGCCGGGCAGCCACAGTCTCAGAAGATAATTCACTCCATTCAGTCTTGCATCGCAATATTGACCTACCATTTCTCTTTCGTGCGACAATTATACACGTCTCGTTAAATTGCGGTCCCCAAATCTCTTCAGCCGTTCCACCGCGACTTCCATATTCCCTAAATCTTCGGTGTCACCTTCTTTCTCGATCTCGACTCCAGGATTGTTGAGAGTAAAACTCTTCGACACTGCTGCGGTCCCAGCTCTTTGACTCGCCCTCTGCGGCAAAGTGAAACATAAATTGCGATGGCGCTGCCAAAGCGAATCGTGAAAGAGACGGAGAGATTGATGGCGGAACCGTAGGTCCTTTCCTAGCCCTTGACCTGAGTCGGAACAGTCTAAGTCATTCCAAGTGTCCCTGGGATCAGCGCGGTGCCCCATGAAGACAACCTCCGATACTTTGATGTCAGCATACATGGTCCTTCACAATCTCCATATGAAGGTACGTCGGCGCTCCATCAGCCCTCTGCCGAGACGAGGCTGATTCTTTATAGGAGGTGTCTTCAAGCTCGAGCTCTTCCTACCAGATGACTATCCCATGACTCCGCCCAAGATCCGATTCCTCACCAAGATATACCACCCAAACATTGACAAGCTCGGTCGAATCTGCTTGGACGTGCTGAAGAGTGGGTACCCTTGCTCTTAGGTTGGAGTAGCACTAATTCTTGTTCAGGCAATTGGTCGCCTGCCCTTCAGATTAGAACAATTCTTCTTTCCATTCAGGCGTTGTTAGGTGCTC